CTAAGAAGGCATAAGGACTAAAAGTAGTGTGTTCTGGATGAACTCCTGGAACAGTAAAAGGACATTATGTTAAAAACTAGAGGGTTTTGAATAAATTATAGACTTTGGCTTATGTATTAACATTTATTCTTTACACCAAGGGTGGTGACACTTGCCTGTAATCTCAGTGACTCAGGAGGTTTTGAAGTTTGAGGCCAGCCTAGGCAACTTAGAGAGACCCTATCTCCAAATGAATATAGTGCAGGAAGTGTGTGTTGGGGATATGGCTCAATGGTTGAGCACCCTGGGTTCAATCCCCAGTACTGCAAGAAAAAACAACCAAAAGCAAAAACAGTGAGACAAACTGTACACCACAGGATGCACAGGTATATTCATGAGAAGAATGCCAGCAAAGGAGCAAAGAGGCCAGGCTCCAAAAGCCAAGGCCACAACAAGTCGAAAGCCTGTTTTAGAAGAGCAGATATGAAACTCAAAACAGAATCTAGTACAGACCCAAGGCCTGAAGAAGGGGTGGCCACCACAAAGCAGACTGCTCAGACAAAGCTTATAACCATGAGATGGGGAGGTTCCACAGAGGGGAATTTCTTTAGGCAAAGAGGAAGAGCCTGGAGAAGACAAAAGCCACCAAGAATGAGGCAGCTACAAACGTCCTGGACGTTATCCTGGGCATGCAGGCTGGAAAAAGGACCACAACTAGGCTTCTGAAGCAGGGCCCTTTCTAGGAGGAAGGTGACAGGTCAGGAGAGGAGGGGATGAGGCAGGAGTGGGGTAAGGAGTGCTGGCACCTGGGGACCCAACCAGCAAGTCCTTGGAGTGTTCCCTCATCAGGAAAAGGGGAAATAAGAAGGAAAGGGAAATGCCAGAACGTGGGGGGAAAAGGCTACATGTATCATGCCTTCCCTGGAGGAACAGCAGCCCTGGCTGCACTAAAACCAAGCCTGCAGCACTAAAGACCCCTTTTGACTCAGTGAAGGGCACCACACCTAAGACTTGGGCTCCAGAACAAGGTCCTGAACGTCCAATGGCGATGAAGGCCCTCTCCTCCCAAGCCCAGCCTCCTGAAAATAAGAAAGGAGAATTGAAGAGACAGCACAATCCCCTTTCCCCACAAAATTTCCACTGTAGGTCAAGCACTTGGTGAGAATGTCAGGTAGTTTCAAGTCTGAAAATCTTACTAGCTTTCTCTAACAAGAAACTGTCACTTGGAGCCACAACTCCTTCCTACTGAAGTAAAGTCAGTTCCCAAATAGAAGAATGAGCCAAAGAACAGGATTTTCACAACAAATTCACTATATAAAAATTACACCTTGAGGCTGAGGTTGTGGTTCAACAGTAGAGCACTCGCCTAGCCCCCCCATGCGAGATACTGGGTTCAATCCTCACCACCACAATAAAATAAAGGTATTGTGTCCAACTACAACTAAAAAATTTATTTAAATTATTTTTTAAAAATTACACCTTTAACTGAATGAATTCTGAACAAAGCCCCACTGAGACACCAGCCTTCTCTGAGTGGGCAGACCTACCACAGGTCGCCCCCAAGTCCGTGCAAAAGACCTGCTCCTCCAGAACCAAGATCCTTGAGGCCAGCTTAGGCAACTTAGAGAGACCTTCAAACCACTCTTCACATACTTCGATTTCCTGCAGGCAGCAAGCTGACTTGAAACAGACTAGGTACGTCCCCCAGCCCAGAGGGCACCAATCTGGTCTGTGAAATGAAGTCAGCAGGCCATCCAGAACCACACACCCACCTTCATCAGGCCCCTTGGCAAATCTCCAGGTGGAAACCACACACTCATTCTCAGTTGTGGGCTGAGAGGCTTGCCCATGTTCTCCATACACAGAATCTGCAGCACCAGCAACCAGCTTTTGTCAGTCCCCAAGTAATCCCACTATTGAAACATAACCCTGAATAGGTGCTCTGATAAAGATTTGAAGTTCCTTTATAAGGAACTGAATATCTCTCTTAGCACATTCAACGCTTGGAAATCTCTTGGAATAAACTTTCAGTTTAAACGCCAGGAAAATTTTCGGACTAAAACATTGAAAACAAGATTTTGAACAACTATATAAATGCAATCAAGGTCAGGTAGAGAAATAGAACCCACAGCCATCAACGACCCAAACAGGCCTCTCTCCTCTCAAAAAGAACACATTCCTCATGACCCTGAGAAAATGCACTCTACCTGTGATCTAACTAGAGACTGAATACTGAACCTGTTGGCAATATTCAAGTAAAAGAGCCTGCCATCACACTGAACATGTGAAGGGTGTGATCCGGTCACAGAAGAATGCACAAGTGAGAAGACCTCAACTTACTTGGAGAAGACCTCCAAACTTACTTTCCACACCAGCACTTCCTCCCCATGCACTGTCCTTTGAACCTGCCTCAAAACAACTGCACTAAATACCCCATAACCACCTGTCATCAACGGGTGGGTCTGGAGCATGCCCACGTGGCCTTGGCCTCACACCTGCTGCACCCAGTGCTCCTTAGAAGCAACTTGCTCTCCTCACAGAACTAAAAACCATATAGGATTCTGCCCAAGGGCATTCCACAGAAGGGGGGAAGTACATAACAGGACCACTCTCCTCCAAACATATCATCACAGACAAGGCTGGTCACTCTTGCCCTTCCTTTCTGCAGCACTTTCCAGCTCATCACTGGAGTCAGTCAGCTGTCCAGGAGCACCCCAACCCTGAACCAAAGGACAAGGATACACTGAAAAGGCTGACACGTGTCTAGAAGTCACCTGTTCCTCCTCCCTAAAACCATGCTGCAGGCAGCCCAAAGGCCAAGACCTGACTAGAAGCCTGAAGCTTCTTTCAGGCCCCATCTCTGCAGGAGGCTGCTATGATCTTTATCTTAAACTGGCACATCAGAGAGCAGACCAAGTAATTACTTCCACCCCTTATTAGTAATGGGGACCCCACATTACCAACTTGGTAACTGCTATTGGGGAGTCACTGGAGACAGAAATACATCATGCTCCACACCAGATGGGCCATGTGAGGAGAAGCTACCCACCCACAAAGGAGTGTGACAATCAGAAGCCACTTCTTTCAATGCTCTCTGCCTTTCCCACCACCTTCGCCCACAGATGCAACACCCTTGCAAAAGACAGAGCACCCAGAGCATGCAGGAAGTTGCTCTGCCCAAACCCCAACTCTCCCTTTAACAACACTGTTGCACGTTTCTTTTTTCCAACAGGAGGGTTCTAAGCCTCACCCCAGCAGAGCCTCACCCCTCAATGAGGATGAAGCACAGCTTCCTTCCAAACAGCTGCTTTCTGACAGCACACAGCTGAAACAGGCCCCAGGGGTCACAGAGTACAGCCATCTGCCCAAAGAAATGTGTGTGTTCTCCTCCATATGAAGACATTCCTCCTGCCACAGCACAGCAAGACACTCAGGTTTAACCCTCAGGGAAGACACCCTGGGCAGCAGCACCATGGACTTCCTTACAACCAGGTGCTGGGTTGAGGTGCCTGGCAGACCCTCACTTAGGGGCTCCTCATGTGGGGCAAGGTGACAGTGGAGTCTCTGCCAAATTGCACTTGACTATTTATGAGGCAAGTACTTAACCTCTCTCACCTCAGTTCCACCGTACTTAAAATGGGAACAATATCTACCTCACAACATGATATGAATGAAGTACATAGTAAAGTGTCTGCCTTCAAGTAAGGGCTCAATAAAGACTTACATCCTTTGACCCACAATAGTGCCAGACTCGGGTAAGCCATTTTCCATCTTTACAGCTCATACTGTTTCTCCCTCTGTTGGGAAAGTTAGGTTGGACCTGGGTCTTCTCATACAGAACCTGCCCTGCCACCCTAACATAGAGATGCAAAACTCACTCCAACTATTCACCTCTAACTGTCCTTGGATATAAATGCAATATCGGGGCCATTTCTGCCATTACTTAAAGGAAATTTGGCATATTCTCACACACATGCATGTGGGGGACTCTAGCTGACAAAGGTGCAAAGCCTAGATTCTCTCAATTCCTTATTACAGAAGTCTATCCGCTATTCTGTAATTTTTTTCTGCTCCCTGGGTTTCCAGTGTTTTGCACTAAAAAAGCTGCCTGAAGAAAAGCAAATGGTGAACTCCAATTCCATCACGTGGAAGTGTCAAGGCCATGAGAAAATATACTCTTTTCTTTTTCCCACAGACATCATCAAATACACACCTTTCACACAGCATCACTGAGTGAAAGTTTGCTTTATAAATGTCCAGGATGAATGTCGCCAGAGCCTCCACTGAGGCATGCCAGCAGCCTAAATGTTTTTTGCCCCCTAGCCCAGGCACCTCAGGGTATAACATGTGTTGCAAAGTCAAAGACATTCTTTTTTCCTTTCATCATTTTCCTCCACCAGACAGGTCCCCCTTTTCTAGACTTTGGATTCGTCATCATTCGTCTCTACAAGAGAAGATTGTAACCTGAAGTTTTCCCAATTCAGCGCAGCGAGAGCTCTCTGTCTCAGAGACCCCATACCTTCCCTGAAATTGTCAAAAGGGCTCATGATCCTCCCAAAACATTAAGATCCATTATTACAAAGCTTCATTCTGGAAGATAAGAGGCCAAGTAAACTTCTTAGGTCTTCATTCTATTAAGGGATTTTTTTTTTCCTTTTATTCTGTCAAACTGGGAATCGAACCCAGGACCTCGTGAGCAGGCTAGAAAGCGCTCTACCACTGAGCCAAAAATTTGCCTTTGAACCAAGTTTTGCTAGCTCTCTGACATTCTCCCATGACCCACTTCACATAGCATACAAGGTATACATAATTAATCACAGTCTCAACACTCCAAGACTGAACAGAGGGGAAAATACAAAAACACTAAGGATACTTTTAGCAACATAGTAAAAACACAGAAACATTTCTCCACATTTCACCCAACAAGTGGTTGTATTTTTCCCCCTAAAATCCCTCCTCCCTGTCAAGCTCACACTCCCCCTTGGCGGTGCCTCTGAGCCCGGCCTCCCGGGGCATCCCACCTTAGTGAGCAAAGCCATGAGCAGAATGAGCACCCAAATGCCACGGCTGAGAGCAGAGCGTCCCAGACCATCCCAATCAGGATTTGGGAATCCAACCGCGAGCATCAGGCGTTTAGGGCACGATCCCGCACCCTCTGCTTCCTGGAACCCCGTCCCAGGTGAAGGCCCAGAACCGCTCCTCCGCGGACAGGACCGCAAGGTAAGCCCAGAGGCTCGGCTTCAGACTGCGAGGAGGCGAAAACAAACTTTCCAGGCACTTCCACCCCGCCCGGTCGGGTGACACCTCCCGGCCTCCCCCGCCCTCCGCGCCTGTCAGCGCCCCTGGCCGCCCGGCGCCTGCTGCAGCCGAGGCCCGCGCTCTCCGCGGCAGCCGAGAGGCGCCCGGCCGGAGTCCGCGGCCCGGCCCGCCGCCTGGCCGCAGGTGAGGCGCCGGCCGGCCGCGGAACCGGGCCGCCTCGTCAGACCCGGAGGCAGCAGAGTTCGCGGATAACGGGCCGGCGCATCCCGTCCCCCGCAGCGCGCTCACCAGCTGGCTGGTGGTCCTGGCCATGGGCCCCGCGTCGGCGCGGGCGCCTCCCCCGCAGTGCTGCGCGGCTCGGCGCCTGCTCAGCGTCCTCCTCCCCGCGACGGAGCCCCAGCAATGGCCGCCCTCATCCTGCGCCCGCCCCGCCGCCCGCCGCTCCCGGCGCCACCCCGCCCCCGCGCGACGCCGAGCGGGACTTCCGCCGCACCGCCGCCACCGCCCGCACCCATTGGACGCGTCCGCCGTCGCTCGCCGCGTCCCACGGGGGCCCCGCCCGCGTCCCGGGCCGCATTTCCGGGTTGGGGCCTGGTCCCGCCTCCGGAGGGAATCCTGCGCGAGCCAATCCCGGAGCGCTGGGCGGGGTCGGCCGAGCTGTCATTGCCGCTCCGGGTCCGGGAAACTGAGGCTCCGAACCCGGTCCCGTCAAGGTCACGCCCGTAGCAAGCTGCCAGGCTGTGCTAGAACCCGCGGCTCAGACTCGAGGCCGGCCGTGCGTGAATGCCAGGAGGCAACCTATGAGAGTTTACAGCTCACGAACGACAACGGAGGAAAGGAGCCATCGAAGCATTTAACCGGCGCACTAACAGTCCCGCAACACCCTCGGAACTGTGTCTTTGCCTAATGTTCTTGTGGTTCCTTTTTCTTTTTGGTGGTGGTAATTGTTTTGATGATGATGGTGGTGGTGGTAGTGGGTTTTTTATATTGCAGTGAAATACACATAAAATTTACCATTTTAACCTATTTTCTTAGGGCCCCGCATATGCTAGGCAAGTGCTCTACTATTGAGCTACACCCCCTGGCTTTAACTTGATACTGGGTATTGATCCTAGAGGCAGTTTAGCACTGAACCACATCCCCAGCCCTTTATTTAACTTTTATTTTGAGACAGAATCTCACTAAGTTGCTTAGAACCTCACTAATTTGCTGAAGCCAACCTCCCTCAAACTTTCCATCCTCCTGCATCGCTGGGCTTAGAAACATGGGCTACCACGCCTGGCACCTTTAATCATTTTTTAAGTGCACAATTCAGCAATATTCAGTACATTCTCATTTTTGTGATGCGATAATGTCTTAAAACTAGGATCACCCTTATTACCTGAAGGTATTTTTTTTATTTTATATTTTTTTGGTACTGGGGATAGAACCCAGGGCCTCATATATGCTAAACACACACAATACCATGGAGCCACACCACAGCCTCTGCAGTTTTAAACAATCTGTTTTCAAATTTTCCAACAGCAATCTTTATTTAAAAAATTAAAATTCAAAACCAGGTACAAAACCCAGCATGGTAGTGCAATCCTGTAATCCTAACAGCAGGAGGATTGCAAGTTCAAAGCCAACTTACTGAAGCCCTAAGCAACTTAGCTAGACACTGTCTCAAAATAAAGTAATAGGGGCTGAGTTTGTTGCTCAGTGGTAATGCACTTGCCTAGCACATGTGAGGCACTGGGTTTGATCCTCAGTACCACATAAAAATAAATAAATAAAACAAAGGTATAGTGTCCATCTACAACTAAATAAAATAAAAATAATAATGATAATAGGGCTGGAGATATGGCTCAGTGGTTAAGCACTCCTCCCCAGGGCAATCCCTTGTAACAAAAAGGGGGAGGGGGCACAAAAGCATATGCTGACAGTCTCAGCTACTCAGGAGGCTGAAGCAAGAGGATCTCTCTTTTTTAAAAAAAATATTTATTTTATTAGTTTTTTAGGTGGACACAATATCTATATTTTATTTTTATGTGGTGCTGAGAATCGAACCCAGTGCCTCAAACATGCTAGGTAAGCACGCTACCACTTGAGCCACATCCCCAGCCCCGGAAGAGGATCTCTTGAGCCCAGAATTTCAAGTCCAGCCTGGGCAACATAGTGTAACTTTGTCTGAAAACCCTAATACAGCATCCCTGATATTGTTGCTCCACTTTTCAGATGAGGAAACTGAGGCACTGGGAGGCAGTTCTGCAACTTGCTCAGGGTCATGCAGTGTCAGGATCCAAATATCCATGTGGCCAAAGCCTGTATATCAACCCCTGTCAGCTCTGACTGTCCTTGCCCTCTGTACATTTATAGACCTTTAAAAAACATCATTAAAAAAAAAAAAAAAACAGGTATGGTGGTATATGCCTGAAGTCCCAGCTACTGAGGTTAAGGAGGTGGCTGACACAGGGGAATCACAAGTTCAAGGACATCCTGGGCAACTTGACAGACACAGTCTCAATAAAATTTTTAAAAAATTAAAAAGAGCTGGGTATATAGCTCAGTGGTAGAACACTTGCCTAACATGCTCCAGGCCTTAAATTCAATCCCCAGTAACCCACTTCAAACAAAAAACAAAACAACAACAACAAAAAAAAAAAAAAACTGGCAACTATAACCCCTAACCCCATGCTATTCTTGCCGTTTTGATACTTGTTTCTTTCACTTAACAATGTATCATCTGTATCCTGTATGGCTCTCCTGACCTCTTTTCCTCAGTTGTATAAGTCCAGAGGAGGCCACTGGAGGAACACAACATTTAAAGATGAAATGTATATTTATACATTCAGGTATCGATTTCCTAATAGACATGAAAATGATTCCCAGGTTTTTTGTTTTATTTTTCCCTCATGAACAAGGACTACACTGAAATCCAACACACCCTTCCTTATCTCTTTAGGATAAATTCTTAGCCTATGGAATTACTGGACCAAAATATAATTCATACTGCTAAACTACCTGCCCCACTTCAGAAAAGGTAGTCTAGTTTATACTCTCACCCTGAGTGCACAGAGAGAAGCTCAAGGTGGACACAAGCTCTTATATCTCAAAACATAGATAACCACTGGAGACACCAACCCCAGCACCCCCTCAAGTCACCACAAGCAGTGTCTGCTTGTTCCACACAACAGCCCATGAGCATCAGCTGCTATGATGGTTCCCACTTTTCATTTGAGGAGACAGGCTTCTGTGGCTTGTCTACTGTGCTGTAGAATAGAGTTCAAGGTCACCGAGCACAGGTCTCAAAACCAGACCTGACCAACTCTGCTCTTAGTCAACAGCCATTCTATTTATTTTGGTCCTCACAAAGCAATAAAAACTTTTCCTGAACCCAGCATAGTGGCACACACCTGTAATTCTTATGACTCAGGAAGCTAAGGCAGGAGGATCACAAGTTCAAGGCCAATCTCAACAACTTAGCAAGGTCCTAAGCAACTTAGTGAAACCCTGTCTCAAAAAATAAAGAGGGCTGGGGGTGTAGCTTGGTGGTGAAGCCCCTGGGTTCAATACCCACCCCACCCCACTCCCCAAAAAAAGAAAATCAGGTAACTAGGTCACAGTTTTGGTAATTTTTGGCGGGGAGGGGGACAATGGAGATTGAACCCTGGGGACACTCTACCACAGAGGTTATAGCCCTAGCTTTTTTAAATTTTTTATCTTGAGACAGGGTCTAAGTTGCCCAGTCTGGCCTTGAACTTTTTTTTTTTTTAGTTGTAGATGAACACAATACCTTTATTTTGTTTATTTTATGTGGTATTGAGGATCAAACCCAACCCCGGCCTTGAACTTATAGTTCCCCTGACTCAGCCATATCCATGTGGCCAAAGCCTGTACATTAACCCCTAAGAGATTCTAGACATGCCGCCCCTATTAAAAGGTAGAATTTAAGTGAATAGGGTGGGAAAATGCCAGGATAAGAGCTGTCAGCAAGGAACACCCAGACTGAAGTGGAGTAGAATTCTAGAGGAAATTATAGATTCTTGCCACAAATAAACTTGAATTCAGGTTGGGCATGATGGCCACACCTAGAACCCAGTGACTAAGGAGCTTAAGGCAGGAGGATCACAAGTTCAAGGCCAGCTTCAGAAATGTAGTGAGACCCTATCTCAAAATAAAAAATAAGCCAGGCAAGATGGTGCAACCACTAGCAGCTTGGGAGGCCTAGGCAGAAGGATCTCGAGTTCAAAGCCAGCCTCAGCAAAAGCAATGTGCTAGCAACTCAGTGAGACCCTGTCTCTAAATAAAATACATAAGACTGGGGACATGGCTCAGTGGTCGAGTGCCTCTAAGTTCAATTACTGGTACCCCCCCCACAAAAAAAAAAGGGCTGGGGATATAGCTAAGTGGTAGAGCACACCTGGGTTCAATCCCTAGTATCAGGGGGAAAATTTGAGTTAAATTGAGGGACTCACAGGGAAATGAGAAAAAAAAAATCCAGAATAGCTCTACCAAAAAGGAATCACAATCACAGCCCATACCTCCTCTCAATCCTCTCTACTGTGACTGATATTTACAGTCATGGTCAGTTATTACACTGATTCGGTAGAATATGATTCATCATATTCTACCTGGACAGGAGGCAGAAGACATGGCAGGTATAAAAACTGAATCCTTACCATTTCAACAGAAAGGCAAGAAATAATGACCACAAATGATGAATCATAAAAAGTATAAAGATATTTCTAGAAAAGCGGACAGACATCTGGGCATGGAGGTGCATGCCTATAATCCCAATGACTTGGGAGGGTCTCAAGATTAAGGCCAGCCTCAGCAATTTAGCAAGAACTTGTCTTAAAAAAAGTTGAAAAGGATTGGGCCAGAGATCAGTGGTAGAGCGCCCCTGGGTTCAATCCCCAGTACAAAACAAACAAACAACAACAACAAAAAATCACACATGGCCAGATACAGTGACACATAACTGTAATCCCAG